AATCTAACTTCAAATATATATATATATATATATATAACATTAGTTAACGTATTTATGATAAATTTATATTTTTAGATAATGTATTGTGTGAAAAAGTGTTGTGCACAGTATTCCCAAATAAAGCCTAAATTGTTAAAGACACATTATCTGCTACTTGACTAGTTGATATCAATAATTGAGTTATTTTCTATATACTATGAACTTGTATGTTTTTACCTTTGAATCTCATGGTTTTGCTCCAAAAAAAATGTCTTCTCAGGAATAGGTGGTCCCGGTTATAAGTACTGATCGATAAAATATTATTGATTTGTATTTAATATAAGATGTTAACCTCACTCCACACCCATTAGTTTTGTAGCAATCTTCTTTCTTGAAAATAAAGTTTCTTGAATTGATGTTACAGATTTGAGTGAGCAAGACCGAGAGGTAGATAAGGATCTCAGAAAGTTGTTCATCTCATAAACCAAAAGTAACGATCCCAAATGAGAGATGACATATTGACTATATTCAATATCACCCAAAAGTATGTTATACTTGGTTTCATTCTCAACATATTAATTAAGTGGAGAAAAAGAAAAGAGAATAGTAGGATTTGAACACCCCCTCAAATAGCCCAAACCCAGAGTTCATATAATTGGGCTAGGGCGGGCTGTTCAAGCCCTCATCTAATATATGTAAGCGAAATTAAGCAGCATATATATCATAATCACATGCCTACCTGTACCGCACGACTCCATTGGATGCAGTCATGGAGAATGCTAAGGAGCCACTTATATCCCCAGTAGGAGAAGATTGCCAAAGCCAAGAGCAGGTCAATGGTCCCGTTACCACCACCATCTCCGCCGCTTTCACCCTAGGTACTAAGGACATCGCTCCAATCACCAGTGTCCGAGCCTTCTTTAGAGAATTCTTGACCGAATCAAAGAAACTATGGTACCTTGCCGGCCCTGCTATCTTCGCCTCCATCTGCAAATACTCTCTCGGTGCCATCACTCAAATCTTCGCTGGTCACGTCAGCACCCTTGCCCTCGCCGCCTTCTCCATCGAAAACTCTGTCATCGCTGGCTTCTCCTTCGGAATCATGGTATATACGTCCGTTATTTTCTATCATTCATTTACTTAGCTCATCTGCTGGTAGTTCGATTTGAATTCAGTATCTTTTACTAACAAAGATAGTCGTCCAGTTTTTCAATTAATTTAATCGATCACGTATTTAAATACTAAATTTCGACTTCTTTGGACAGCTCGGAATGGGAAGCGCGCTCGAAACTTTATGCGGGCAAGCGTTCGGAGCAGGGCAGATCGATATGCTAGGGATATACATGCAGAGATCGTGGATCATTCTCAACGCCACCGCTATAATCCTCTGCTTCTTATACATATTCGCGGCGCAGATTCTAAAGCTGATCGGCCAGACGGCAGAAATCTCGAAGACTGCCGGTATGTTCGCGATATGGATGATTCCGCAACTCTTCGCTTACGCCCTGAATTTTCCAATGGCGAAGTTCTTGCAATCGCAGAGCAAGATCATGATCATTGCAGTAATATCGGCTGTGGTGATGGTTTTTCACGCTTTTTTCAGCTGGTTGTTGATGCTGAAGCTGGGATGGGGTCTGGTCGGCGCGGCGGTGGTTTTAAACATATCATGGATAGTGATCGACGTAGCACAGTTCGTGTATATCGTGAGCGGAGGTTTCAGAGAATCATGGACAGGGTTTTCATGGAAGGCATTTCAGAATCTGTGGGCATTCATGAGATTATCCCTTGCATCGGCGGTGATGCTCTGGCAAGTGATAAGTTATATGCATACGGTTTGGCCCTAATAAAAAAAAAAGT